TCACCCTTCGTTTGCTTCCTGGTTGTCATGAGGTGAACAGCTTTGTTCTACCATGTTTCTGACCATGGTCCTGCTTCACTACAGGTCTAGAAATAATAAGGAGAAGTGACCATGGGCTGAAACCTTTAAAAATGTGAGCCAAAATAGACCTTTCTTCCTTTAAGTTGAGTTTCTCAGGCATTTTGTCACAGTAACAGAAATCTGACTAATACAATGCTCATCATTACGATTAACATCTAACACTACCATAGAAATGTCAGCTAATTGAGTTGGGCATGGTGGCACATCTTGTGATTCTAGCAACTCAGGAGGCCAAGGTGGAATCACAAGTCCAAAGCCAGCCTCAGCAACTTAGTGAAACCTTAGGTAACTTAGTGTGAGACTATCTCAAAATAAAAAATAAAAAGGGCTAGGGATGTGACTCAGTGGTTAATTACCCCTGGGTTTAATCCCTGGTACATATAATAATAATAATAATATGTATACACACAAACACACATATCAGTTGATTGAGTGTAAGAAGAAAATAAAATATTAGAAGTAATGTAAAAAATATTTTAATACTTCCAGAAAATACTCCTACCAAGAAACTTCAAGAGGATTAAGATTAATTGACCAAGCAAGAAAATTCAGAGTGTGGTCGGTTATACGATAAATATCTGGAAATTAAAGTTTTTCTAATATCAGCCATGATCAACACGAGGACCACATTTTAAATAAAATATTCTATTCACAAAATTTAAAGTATAAATTACCTACAGTTAAACTTGATATTTATAAAAGGATATGAAATGAATAACGTGATGAATAGACAATAATATCATAATCCAGGATTCTAAAAAGTGAGTACTACAAAATGAGCCAGATAGTAAATATTTTTCAGCTTTATGAGCCATATGGTTAGTGTCTCAACTGCTAGAGAGTCTGCCTTACAAAGTGAAAGCAGCCAGACAACACATAATGAATGAGGAGACTGTGTTCCAATAGAACTATTTATTCAAGCAGTCAGAGGGCCAGTTTGGCCAGTGGAACATAGTTTGGCAATCTCTGCTAAAAATAATTATTTTTTTTCTCTAGCATAAAATACTGCAATGAGCTGGTTTCAAACTACTGCACTCAATAGATTCTCCTGCCTCAGCCTCCTGAGTAGCTGGGACTACAAGTATGTGCCATAGAATCCAGCAAGTAGAAATATTTTTAA